CAGGGTGACGAGGAAGGGGATGAGGCAGATGGGGGCGATGATCATGGCCAGCAGCACATCCTCGGGCGGGTCGAAGTACACCGGGTGCTCCAGGGTGCAGTTGTGGAAGTAGCGGTGGTGGCTCTGAAAGATGTACTGCTCCGCCAGTGCATTGGGGTAGCTGTAGTTCAGGCGGTCGGCCCAGAGCTCCAGGCACAACTGCAGGTCGCTGTAGGGCCTGGGGAGACAGCCGGGGCACTGGCAGGGGACAGAGCACCAGGGCACAGACCCCCGGGCCATCCCCAGCCCAGCAGCACCCCTCTGGACTGCCCAGCCCCTGTGCCCTGCTGCCAGAGGGGAAGGTCCCACCACCCCATACCTCCTGATGACTTTCCATTCGCACAGCTCCGATGCTGTCACATTCCTCATCAGGTAGACGAAGTAATCCCAGCACTTCTGTGTGATGTCGGAGTAATTTCCCTCTGTGGGGAAAGGTGCTGAGCACGGGCAGCACGCCCTTTCCATAGCACATCCCTGCCTGCCCCTGCTGCCAGGTGACACCCAGGCCAGTGGGAGAGACACTGGCAAGGTGGGGGAGAGACCCTGCAGCAGCCCTGGGGTACTGCCCAGACTCCACAGCAGTCCCAGGGCAATGCCACGAGCACAGTGGGAGGGCAGGTTGCTGCTGGCTGGCACAGGCCAGCTCTTTTGGGGATAGCCAGCGGAAAGGGGGAGGATAACCCTATGGTGCAGAGCCAGCCCTGGCCAGGGCACCGTTGGGCCCAGGGGGCTGCACAGCCCTTGCTGAGCCTCAGCACTCACCCATGGGCTGGGCTGTCCCGTTGGACATGGCCATGGGCGAGCTTGTCCCGGCATCCTGGCCAAAGCCCTTTGTCTCGGTGTCCGCATGGCAGAGCCCAGTCCCCAGGAGCACTGCAGAAGGGGGACACAGGGTGAGGAACAACACAGGGTCAAGGGGGGCAGGTGCTGGTAGGGCTCCACGCACAGAAGCTGCCTCAGCAGAGGCTGGGTCTGCAGCAGGGAACTGGTTCTGAGTGTCCCTTGGGGGCCACTGGAGCCAGCAGTTGGGGCGCAGGACGGTGAGCTGCCCTAATCCTGGCACATGCTGGGGCCACAGTGTCCAGCCCCCCAGATGGGCAGAGGCTGTGCAGAGGGGTCCAGCCAGGCTGTGGGCAGCTGCTGAAGGGCTCAGAGGAGCTCTCTGGTGGCAGTGGTCCCTGGGTTGTGGTCACAGCACAGGGGTGAGCCATGACCACTGCCCATGGGGAGCCAGCGCAGGCACCGCCCTATTGCCCTGGGTGGCTGCATTGCAGCTGGACAGGGCTGAGGCAGGAAGAGGAAGCACTGGACACAGTACGGCACTGCCGGAGAGCCCCTCCGCCTGCCATCAGTCCCACGCCCAGCACAGCCTGCCAAGGGCGTGGGGCATGTCTCGCCTGCCCCACGGGGCCCCATGGCCCAAGGAAACCGCCCCATCCATCTTCCACCCCTGGCTGAGGGCCCATGGTGTGGGGCAGCAATGCTGGCGGGCCCCAGTGGGCCCTGCCTAGGCCGTTCATGGGGAGCTCTGGGACAGCCAGGCACTGGCCACGGGGTGCTCCTGGGCTGGTACAGTGGCTGAGGAAAGGGCAGCCCACCCTGTCCCAGTCTCTATCCCCGATGGTCCCA